CGCAATTCATTTTTCAATATAACAGGGCAAGATTGGTAGACGTCGTGGATAAATGTATCAGTTCGCATTTTTGTTCGTTCCGAACAAAAAAATGGATACGACCCTGAAGAGGTTAAGATGTCCAAACTAATCAGTCTGCCACAAACGCGTGTACACTCGCTTCTCGGTTCCACGGTTAAATGCTAGGTACGATAACAATATTATTCTAGTGTTCACATGGAGATTAATTATTACTTCCTTTGCATCCGTTAGTGATTTCTAGTACTGTTAACGGTGACATCGCTAAACATCGTCAACGCTAGGTTCCATCGGATCCAGTCCCGAAAGCTGAGGGTTTATTCTCGAGGACCTTTTCTTTTAGGCTCGATACACGACGAGTATCGTTGTACAGATCGCACGATACACGGTGGTACAAATAAACAATTATACGAAGGATTATTCCAAACGAAACATCGATTCATTGTTTAATTGACGGTACGAGCATAAAAAGAACACCGATAGGTGATTCGGCCCATCACAGGTTTTTTTTTTCACTTATCGTCTTTCGTTGTAACGTCCGTAACACAGATTCCACCCAGTCAGTATCATTTACGATAGTGATTTCGGTTGATAAAATTTATTTGCTCGCGCATTTGAATGTTTATAAATGGAAAATGAATCCACAAGAATGTATACTATATTGCCTGAGAAGTTGGCTAATTTTTACTTCCTGACTTTGTTAATTAACGTTACTTTGAAGGAATATTTTATTTTGAGAAATCCTTCACTGTTTCTACTCAACTGGCTCCGATTATTTGTAAATAAACAATGCTTTCTTTTTTGGAGAATTTAATGTAATTGAAGAAAACAGAAGTTCAAATGTAATTGAAGAAAAGAAAACTTGTAATTTGTTAGAAAAAGTAACAATAACCAAATCTTGTTGGCCACTGAAGTTCATAGGCATAGATAAATTGTGATGACCATCAGGTTGAGACTTAGGTTATACATATAGACTCATTGTAATGAAAGACCAGGTTGAAAACATAAAAGCTCGGTAATTTAACGTAACTAAATGACGAGTAAATATTTTTACTTGGACTAAAGTTATAAACGATTGAATCTAAAGACACAGAATTAATTTCTACACCTAATATTTTATTCTATTATTATAAGACTGCTTTAACCGGATAGGTCATGTATTCGTAATATATATTCAATATTCTACCAAACACGATCACAATTTAATGATGTTAAAAGCGAAAGGATAGCAGTGATCAAATTTCACCTACCACCTTTGAGAAGTTGTCAGCTCGGACTCGAACCGTTGCCAATTTCTCAGGCGATACTGTATTTTTATAAAGAAATATGCTCACGGTCTCGGGAGGGTGGAACCCTCGATATACCGCCGACGAACATCGAAGAATCTGTACACAGAAGAACGATCATTTTTGCGCGCGCGCATCTACTTGATATGCCCAATTTTTGAAACGCTACGCACGGCGCGTGGATCGTTTAAAGTTACGACAATATTTCTATCGCCTATATCTCAACGCGCAACAAGAACGACCCTCTGTCACAAAGTAACCACGCTAATAGTGAAACTTGAAAATAAAACGTCTCATAATCTACCGAACATAGAACGTGTTACACGCTACTGAAACAAGTAACGTTACCTTTTAATCCTATACAGTACATAATAATGTCGTTAATAATAATAATAATAATAATAATAATAATAATAATAATAATAATAATATCGTAATTGTAATTATCTCTGTAATTTCAACGTACGATCTACTTAACTCTGTCATTACAGTGCATAAAATGATTAGTATAAGTGTATGTATACGTATTGTATATCTATATACGTAGATATACGGATACTTCTGTACAGTAACATTACAATAATACCACTTGTGGCTGCTCGCGGGTCTTTAGTGTGTGTGTGTGTGTGTACCTTTTGGTGTCTTGCCACCATACACGATACAATTATCCAGCGAGTAGTATGAACCAGTGTTTCTCAATCTATTTTGACCAATGGCTCGCTTTCGAGATCTGCTTTATATCTGTTATATACCACTCGTGATTATTGTTAGGTACTTGTTAAAATCATAAGATGTAACTTTATATATTTCTTATTTTATGAATGAACCAATATGTTTTCTGCTTCGTTTGCATTCGTACTTTTATTTTACTTTTATTTTATATACGAATGAATTCAATTAAATAACTGATTAAACTATACACATTTTTGGTGTTTTCTCGATTTACACCGATTTTTCATATAAACATATATATAAAAAAGGAAAAATCTATATGTCGAATCGAGTAACCTCCTCCTTTTCGAAGTCGGTTAAACCCTTTGACCTTAATTTACACGGTATTCCAAGAAATCAATGTCCCTTGTAAATCGAGGGATTGGCGCAGTGATTAATGGAATCCTCGAGGCTGAAGTAATTATTTATCAAGCTTCTCGTACAATTAAATGTGAACCGAGAAAGTTAACAAAAGAAATTTTATTTTTTTTCTAAACTTTGTTTCAATTCCACTACTGATTCCGAAGTTGTTTTTAACAGCCCTTGGTTTAATAATATAATACCAATATATGTATTTAATATCACCTCTACGTTTACTGAAGACATTTGTTTGAATTAAAATAGTAGGTTTAATGTTTCCAAATAAATTTTTCATTATAAATACATACACCTGTGAAGTTTACTCATGTACATATTTATAATGAAACATTGAATCTATCATTTAATTAAAACAATGTTCTTCAATAGACACAAGGGGATTAAGTAATTATGAGACTGATTGTGTACGAGTGTAGTATTAATATTTTATTGATATCTTCCCTGGCCAACTCGGAAATTTTTATATCTTTTACTCATTGCTCCTCAAGAACCAACGAATCGAGTACTTAATTCGGAGTCATACTGGGCCTGTTGAGATTAACTGGTTTAAACTACAGGCTGGGCTGCCCTGTGTTCAATCTGAATAATCGATTAATCGTCTCGAGCAACTATATCGAAAAGATACGCTTCCTCGACCGGCATCGTGCAAATTATCAAACGGCAAGCGAACGTTGTACACGCCTCTGACAAATCGCGGATCTTACGTAAAGTCGGCATAAATAGGCCCTTCAAAATATCGAAACAAAGGAGTTGGGCGCCGCGTATAGTGACAAAACTAAGCTTGACCCATGAATTTGAAACAAGAAATAGACTAGACCCTTTTAGTACCTTTTCAGACTTCAACATTCATTTATATTCCTGCGTTGACGTTAAATTATGTTAACCCAAACTGTATTACAAAAAACCTGCACCGCAATAGATGATACAGAATTAGTTATTTAGTCAGTGGGAAATTGATCGGTGTACGAATACATTCTACAGCCACTGTATATTTTGTATTATATGTTCCACGTCGAACTACGTCAGAGACGATTTTTTTTTTATAAATGCTGTTTATAATGTATGTTCGATTTCAATTATAACGATTCGATTTTTTTTCATAATTTTAACTAAACATTATCAATATAATTTTCTCTTTATTTCATAACATGTCTATTTGTAAATTAAGTAGCTTCAAACTAAATCTGTATCATTTTTATTTCGAACTTGAGTCGGTACTAAAAGGGTTGATATCAGTTAATTATTTTTGAACACGTTTCAGTTACAAATATAAGTTGAATACTAACTGATAAATATGGAGAAGTCTCGCAACTGCCTCGCCAGAAACATTTTATAAAGAAAGTTTCTTTAATCTAATAAATATTGATTCAGGTTTTATCGACTGTTTTCTTACAAAAATTAAAAATTCCATTGTACTCGTTCAATGAAATGGGTCCTCAGAAATGCTAGTTACGGCACTGAACGCGCACGCTTCGCTCAATTTCGAAAATCGCACAATTGCCTTCGAGTCTTTCGTGATCCGTCCTATTGCGTTTACGTCTGGAACAACCGATAAGATGGAACACGAAGGGCGCAGTGACACGAGAAACGCGAGCTCGTCGTCATCGATGCTCTCGTAAAGTCGTTATCTACCCATGTAGACCTTCGACGTTCTGCTGTAACGAAAAATAATATTTTCTTTTCTGTAATTGCACTTCGAGTATTGCCCTCGGTCTTCCACGCGTCACTGCGCGAGCCAATTCGAAAATATTCAACTCGCTACCGACGTAGCATTCGTCGCGCAACGATAGGAACCCGTTTCGTGCTTTCGATTGTTGACTATCGAACCGCGAGACCGTTGCAAATATTCATGGATAAATGCACGCGTTTTCTTCATAGAGATATTATACAATAGATAGGGCAGGGAAGATATAGGCCTGCCTGTATGTGGAAATGTTGCATCGTTAGAAAGAGAAGGATAAACAATTATTATATTGCGCATTTGTACAATGTATATATCGTACAACGTTAACAATGATAAAGGAAATAACAAGAAAATAATTGAAAGTTGCGTGAATTGAATTGAATAAAGAGTCAACGTTGAAAACGTTGCTAGACAAAGACAGGTTGGTACAAATACAATGGTTTTCTTTCTCTTTTTAATTGTGGTACGCGGCTGGAGGTCTGGCTCCCTTACTCTCTCTCTCTTATAATATCTCTATGGCTTTCTTAAGGAAACTCGTTACGGGTGGAACGGAGCAAAAATCGAATCATTTCGGTTCACTATCGATCAGTATCGATCATGTCTGGATTAAAATATAAATCAAACCTCTCTAAGCCAATTTGAATCAAACTAAAGAAAGTAACGAAAAGAGGTTGAGAGAATGTAACATATGGCGTCAAATATTTCACATATTTTCTGTTCGAGTGTTCTAAACATAATTTCTTTAACATCTTCTGTAACTCGTAGTGACTGAACTGCGGATTTTATGTACCTTTTATAATACAACGGAATATAAGAAATATATACTAAACATAACCAATAGTTATATACATTTGTGCCAAATAAAATATTATTACAATAATTAATAGAATATATTCTACATAAATGATGTATATATTTTTTGTATATTTTCCATATTAGCGTACATCATAAATACATCAAATCCGCAGTCTAGTAAATAGCATTTCGTAATTTCATTATTCTTATTGTTTACACGAGCAACGTATAACACGCAGTGCGTTCGTGATTTTCACACAACCATATGGAATAATATTCTCCCTAATTTCGTTAAGCTATTACATTAGGTATATTCTAAGCCTGAGTTACTTTAATATGTTACACAACATTTTTAGCCATAACGTATATGGCAATAATTATCTTATTCATAATACGAGAATAATACATGTACATATTTATGTTATACCGTTTCAAGAAACAATTTTAAAAGTAATATTTATGCCTGAGATAAAAACAACTAAAGTATCGATAATATTCAAGACGAATTGGAGAAGGGATTTACATCATGATCTTTTTCATTTTTTTTTCTTTTTTTAAATTAACGAAATGGTTTCATGATTTAGAATTATTGTTATTTCGACGAATTCCTTTTTTCTGTGTAACTATAATATTTACCTAGCTTTGTATTCTACTTAATCTACCATGTAATTAAATAAATTTGTTATTTGAAGTATTTATTGCACTTACAATCAGATAATGTAGAGTTACTATACTCATTGTCAGATATATTTAACTACGTTTCATTACATTTTCTTTAGAAATTGACTCAAATGGCTTATAAGGGTTTATTGTAACCACCATATAGAATATATATAAGCCTTGAGATTTACAAGAATTAATTACAGTAAAAACTGAACAGGAAATAATTTTATTTAATAATAAGTGAATAGGGAGAAAAAAGTATTACGAAGAAACAACAAAGAATTTAGAGAATCTTACTCTGTCTTTCAAACTTATTGTAGAATTTGTTTGAAGTTTAAAGGTAATCCATCACTTTGGATATTATTTAATCGATTCTAAAGATAGTTTGATTCGAAATAAATATCGAACATTCCATTCCCCACGAAGTTTCCTTACGATAATCTTATCCAAAATTATATTTATGTACATCTATATTTATATATCCATATATAAATATATATGTAAATTATATATAATTCAAAATATTCGAAATATTATACATTTATATATAATTATGAATTATATATAAATATTACGATACTATCGTACAAGTCAAGATTCGAAGCACGTTGCTTCGCGGAGACGCGTTTATTACGTCTAATTACAAGAATTTGGTACACGCATCATATATTCATCCTTATATACACGTACAATTTAACTAAATTGCCAAGCACGGTCGAGGAGCCCTGGAAACGACAAGTTCCGTCGTAATACAATAATACACAGCTCCTGAACGCCCCCGTCGCGTGATATACATTCATTATACATCGTTAACGATAATACGATTACTGTTATAATTATTCTGATCCGGTATCAGTTAGTGTCAGTTTAGACCCCTTTTTTTTGTTTTAGAGAAAGAGAGACAGAGAGAAATAGAGAGCGTGGGTTTTCACAGGATTTTCATGCAAAATCCTCGAAGCATTCTACGCTATATCACATCCTATGTCTGAGCACGTTGTTTTTTTTTTTTGTCGTTAATATTTCATAGGGAGTAGCTAGTTATGCATGTATGTATACATGTATATCTTCGTACGGTATTTAATATTTACGGCTAAGATGAAACTAAATACGGTGAACATCTTAAAAGGTAGAGAAACAGTGACTATATTTTTTGCTTTTCTTTTTATGAATACTTAAACTTATTTCGGTATCAACACAATTGTCGCCGATTCGACCGATCGATCGATCGATCGATACGCACGACGTAAACGAACGGTTTCCCGACAATCTTTCAACTCTTTCCCAACAGCATGACATTTTTTTTCTTATCTCGCAACAACAAAACAAAAAACAATAATAAAAATAAAAAAGGAACAGAAAAATAGAATTTAGAAACGATCTTTTGTTACGCAATCGATGAATTCACCGTGACTAATTATGATACAAAAACGTTTCTCGTTCGCAAAACGGAATACCGTTTAATCGAAACTACCTTTGATCACATTATAGGGTTCTGGTAGACTTTCCAGGATAGATTCACTGGATACAATTACAGCGAAGATAGACTCTGCGTTTTTACATTTATCAGCGAGACGATCGCTCGCCGCTCTGACCGCCCAACTTTTTCAACGTTGCAAGCGAAACAGATGCGAAATTTATATTTATATACTCTTCCTTTTTACAAGAGATTCTGTAACTTCTCCTCGGGCAATTTCATCGAGTTATTACACAACGCACGCCCTATACTTTGACATTCGTAAAAAGCGTATCTATTTCGATTCTCTAAGGGTTAATCCTTTCTCTGAGGGGATTAGAATTAATATACATGGAATGCCACGAAGCAAATTGCACGTGTTACAAATAGACATGGATATTCGTTTAACCGTATTTCCTACATTATGCAACAAACACACACGGGAATCGTGTGCTTTTTTTTCTGTATCTACAGTCAACCTCATAAATATCTGTATCCTCTATTAAGTTTTTATAAATTAAATGGTAGGCTTTATGTTTTCCAATGAATTTTTCCATTATAAATGTGTATATGTGTGAAGTCTATTTATGTACATATTTATAATCAAACCTTTATTTAGAAACATCAAGTCTATCATTTAATTTAGACGAATTTCTTCAGTAGACATAGAGGATACGAACACTCTTATAGGATTGACTGTATTTACATATACACCCGTAGAGTTGGGCAAATTTCATTTCGAATAACGAATAAAATATTCCAACTACGTTTATACGAATAAGATGTTATTCGTCATAGAAAAGGTCTCAACCAACGAACAATTCTCAACATTGCTTACAAAATCGCCTTATCTTTATTCCGAAATTTATTAAGCCCAACTCCGTGTGCACGTATATTTATAACGATATACAATCTTCAAAGGCATCATCATCATCATCGCTGTTAATTAAATTTCTCGGACCATGCAAGAGAGCGAGAGAGTATGAGATATAGAGAGAGCAAAGAAGAAAGAATGATAGCGGTTACGCGCGAAAATTGTTATTAAAAATTCTATCGAGAAAACAGTTAAGGACATCGAATTAGTGTTCATTCTCAACCCTGAACAGTCTACCAATCTACTTGCGCAACTTAAATAAAGAGGTACCCATATCGTAATGGTGGTTAAGGGTAAAACTCCGTTATAGAAAAGTATGGACAGCAAGTCTATTTACTTGATCTTGAATGCATCCATCAGCTCGTTCACGGCGGCGTTAGCAGCGGCCTGCGTCGCAGCTTGTGTCACCCTCTGCTGTAGACCACCCCCACGACTAAACATACACCACGGACACTCGGATTTTACCAAAGATTTCACTATTTTGAAAAATTTTCTTTGCTATACCTTAATAGTAAGCCACATCAGTGCTTCTCAACAAAACGTAACGCGCCACACTAATTATTATTAGAAATAATTGTAAATTAACCCGTTCGCTGCCAGGCAAATTCAAAGCGTTTTTCCTTGGACACCAAGATTTAATACAGATGTGTAATCGAATCAAAAGTTGCAAGAAACCATTCTAACGATTCTTTTGAGGGAAATGAGAGCGTGACCTCCAGAAATATAATCGCAGAGCTACATTGCAATTAAAATTTGATTCGTTTCCAAAAATACTTTTAACTTATAACACTGTAAACAAAATGTTTAAATGCAGGCACCGACATATTCGTCCTTGGTTAATGACTAGTAACAAATTAAAAACCGACATCAAGTACAGCTTATCGAATTAATAGTAGAATAAAAGCAACGATATTAGAAGATTTAAAAGCTTTCACGCGTAACATGTATCGCAAGACCATCGTGTATCGTTATGTTACATTTTTACATAATTCCTTATGTTAAATACAGTAATTAAAATGTCATGCTGTTAGTAAACGAATGAATGCTTATCCACTTGCGATAAGAACCCAAGACAAGTTTATTTTACAACGTTTTTAGTTGTATATACAGGTATCATGTACAATTCCGTCGAACTAATTTACAATGAAAGAAATATATATATATATATCACTCTACCTAGTTTTATTTATTATGAATGCGAATGGGGGCAATTTGTATCTAGTGGCTTCCCGCTAGAAACGATTAATCGTATCATAGACAATTAGGATTTTTAATTAGAGGTGTGCAAACGTTTATGTACGAGTACGCGTACACTCTGTTAGGGTGACTGAAAACGAGCATAAAAGCTTCGAAATATTATTAAGGAGGGAAAAAACGATCGAAATTATGAGAAATGATCTCTTGGTCGTTCTTACAAAATAATTGGACCTCTCGAAAAGAAATGTGGGTCATTGGCATGGTTTAGATACGTGGCAGATGAGATATAAGTTGCTCGTCAAAATTCTTCGGCGGTCTCGTCGCTAACTATTGTATACGACATACATTACACACCCCTAATTAACAGTGATCTCATAATCTGTAATATATGCGGACAAAACATGTAGCATTAGGAAATTGTATTTCGTGTAAAATGTACACTGACTAGATGCAATCGATATATATATGTATGTATTGATTAGTAGCGAATAGGCGAGTTAGTGCGAAGACTTATTGTCGGCGCCTGCAATAGAAAGTGAAGTTAGCACCAAAGCCCCAATCACGCAAAGCTATATGAAGAAGCAACTGCAAATTCTCACTTGTATTTTTTTCTTTACTTATTTCTTTTTTTAGTGAAGATTGGATCGAAAAGAACCTTCACCTAGTTACAAAAAAAAGAAACACACAGGACTATCTTGACACAAACTGGCAGAACGTTGTTGTGCAAAAATTTGTTACATGTGAAACTTGACAATTGAAAGGTACTTGACGATACAGAGTGCTTCGAACAATGTATCTCTTTAATGTTTTCTGTACGAAACTTCACAAGGTATATTTTTGTTAAATTATACGTGAGTTGTAATTTGACTTTGTACTTACGATGGTATTAGAGGAGGAGGTAGGCCAGGCGTAGCACGCGACGGTGGCGGTCCACCAGGTCCAGGTCGGTTGGGAATGGCCGGTGCTGGCCGGACACTTGTCGGAACCGGTGGTGGTACTCGAGAACTAGAAATAGGTGGTGGCTGTGTCACTCCACGTCTTTGCCCACCAGGAGATGGTGGTGATAACCTGTAACCAGGTTTATCACGAAATAAATAATAGTTACGGTTTATATAATAGCAAAAATTAAAGCAAAATAACAGCTTAGATATTAACGAGGATTTTTATTAGTATAAGAATCAGCACTGATGTTTATCGTTACATATAAAATTTAACATTTTTGCCATGAATATTTGTGGATGCTTTCATCCTGGAAACCTTGGCTTAGATGTAACTCGAATTCCTATATGAAGGAATGTTAAGGATTTTATATAACGTCTATTAAACTAAAAATTATGAAATATGTAATGATACAGACTACTACTGAGTCAAATATTAATTAAGATCACCATCAATACTTAGGCTATTTGCTTTAGTTTATGTTTTTAAAAAATCATGTGTTGACTATAAAATTAATTTTATATAAATGTTCATGTAATACATTAAAATGTCAGGCTTAAAACAGTAATGCAGTAAAACTCGATAATAAAACAAATCAACTTCGGTATATTACAAAAGAGAATAATAATATGTGTATATTTTGTAAACGACTTCTCAAATGATTTTTCATCTACATTATTCTAATTCTCAAAGACATATATATCTATAACTCTTACTATTAAGGGTAAAACATAAAGTATTTAGAGTATAGATATTTTATATCATTTTTTAATAAATAAGTGAGCATACAAGTATACATAAGCACAAAGTAAATTTGCTAACCAAAATTTGCAGGAGGCTCGTTTCAAAGTGAAAACATAAAGCATAAGTGTATACGCAGGTATAACAAAATTCAACCTTTCTTTTTGGAGCTTTGAATTGAGACAAAAAAAAAGGAGAAAAAAAAGAGCTAATTAGTATAAACATAGTGACTCTTACCCAAGACTGTTTCAACGGTGTTCAAGTGTATGTGGCAAAAGCAGGCAGTACAAGATTGAAAGATTCCAAATTAGTCAAATGCATAAGCGACAATGAAAATAATATCATAATTGTTACCTTGGATTCTCGCCAGATGCCAACCAATCATTCTTCACTGGTGGCGGCACCGGAGTGGAAACTGTTGCCATCGAAACATCTCCGATGATACGAAGTGCCTCCTTGCATGCATGATACATACGTAACATTTCTTCTCGTTTTTGTGCTTCTTCGGGCGACTCCTCCATCATTGAAGCCTATAACATGCGTTAAATAATTTATTCATAAGCTAAATAACAGTTACATTGCAATATACAGGGTGGCACACCTAAACCAGGCCATTGAAATTCCATGTAAAATATTTTTTGTATTATCCCAATTGGAAGAGATATTCAGGTGGCCCGATTTAGGTGTAACACCCTGTAGATACGAAAACGGGATATGAATAAGAACGAAAGGAAAATAACAAATTATACAAATAAATATAAAACAATAATAATAAGTTCAAGTTAAACGTTTTTAGAATCATATATACAATTTAGAATATTCTAAATTTAAATGAATTTTTTACCTGATCACCGCTTGCATAAAGATGTGCCAACAATTCTCCATTGATGAAGTCCTTTGCATTATTAATGATCAAATGCATAATTGACTTTGGAACAAGATCGCGAGTAGTTTTTGTAACAATCTTCATGTACGAATCTACTAAATTCCTAATGGTTTCCACTTGACGCTCCAGTTGAGGATCCATTGATGACTGGGCCTCTGATCCACCCTATAAATATGCGATGGTTTATATATTAATAATTAAAATAATAGAAGTTAAGACTGTATATTTTTGGTTTGTTGCTGCATGTGAAAAATATTTAAAAAATTACAATTGGAGTAATTGAAGTGTTATTGATTTTATGTTGAAATAGAAATACTGCTAGGAAGAAGAAAAACAATACATATTCATAAACAGCACATACGTATATTAGTTGCGTACTGTCTTTGTAATTAAAAAGCAGAGTCTGGTGGAGGTGTCCTATATTTGTGTGAGTGTTGAGTATATTGTATGTCTACAAAATCCTACAATCGTACCAACCTCATATCCTTCCTTTAGTTGATTAGAGGCAAGAAACATTCATTGTAATGTAAGAATTTAATTAATTCTTCACAAATCTAACAGATAGATAAATTGTGCAATTCCTACTTGTGTTGAAGTATAACAATATTAAAAGAATGAAAGCGATTCCGCGAAAATGCAAGTTTTACTAAATGCAGAAGTCATATTTTGTAATTTTTTTTTATTGCGTTTGGTAAAAAGCAAAACTTTGTGCCTTTTAATATTAAACTAGAATTAGCTTTTATTATTGCAAAGCCTTAATAATCAAAATAAGCCTAAAATATCGTATAATAATGCTCCAAAACTATATGTTGTAAAGATATTAAGGATAATTTATTACAATAATTTATTTTCAAAATTTCACACCACCACACATTTATGAATGTAATATCAAACCAAAAATTTTATTTACATTTCTCGTACTAACTCACCCGCTGCTTATCCTAAAATAAATCAAAACAGACTTTTCTAATAAACATAATAAAACGTATATCGATTCAAATAATTTATTCTTGAATAAAAATTAAGTAATACGTTTGTACACTTCGGTTGCTTTTTATCATCGAACATTTTGCGATGTTTCTAAAAGTGCAATATTTATTTGAATATATAGAATGCATCGCATAATCAAAATGATTAGTGCCTTTTAATTCGTTAAAAATTAAAAAAAATGTTTTGCATAAAATGTTAAATAATTTATTTTGATTTTACTTTGAACATGCACAATCGTATTGACAAATGCAAACTGAGATCACAGAAAAATAAACAGATTTTTCTGCTGTTAACGAAACGAAAAGTATGTTCTTTCCATTATCCTAATCATGTGAGGCATTCTATATATGAAACACAATTAATTTTATAATGATATTGAAAAAGCATACCTCTCCTTCTCCATTTGTTTGCTCCGTTGATTTTTCAGGGTATACACCAGCTCTGAGAAATGAGGCCTTCCAGGAATCAACATCATCCTGTGTTTCGCAACTCAATTCAAGTTGTTTGTAATCCTTATAAACATTTCTGCCCTCTGGATTAAACAAAGCAAACAAATGGCGTCGAGACATGAATCCTTGTTCCAAGTCGCGCAATTTCAATCCATCTAAAGGTAGCATATACTTCTTCTCGCGTTCCTGAAAAAAAAATAATAAATATGAGTAGTGTATATACGAGTGGTATATATTTTAACTTAAAAACTGTAGTTCATTAGTTATTATAAGCAACCAAAGGTCGGAAGCATTCATTTAATTACTCGTGAAGATAAATAAACAAACTAAATATAACATAATTGAAATCTTATAATTACTTCTTCATCTTTGAACCAAGAAATACTCTCCGATGTTAAGACAAACCAATAATCTCTGGAACCACCTTTCATTATACCAAGATTATGAATACACATGTACCCCTTACGTATTACTTGATTGCCTAATGTATGGCGCCCAGACTTAACAGCATTTTCTGAAGATTGTTGTGCACTGTAACACAAGGAATAATGTATAATGAAATGTCAAATAGAAGAAAATATTTTAATACCCATGTACAAAAATGTATTATAACTTGCCACAAAAATTTGTTAGTTTATTGTATAAAAAGATCTAGCAGGGTAAAAACCTAGCAACTTTTCAGTAACTTACACAAACGTTCACACAATTTCAAATTTAATTTGTTGCTAAGTAAATTATAAATTATATTAAAGAATTAAAATTTATCAAAACATGTGCAATTACAATATAAAAACGATTAAAAATTAAACATGAAAAAAAAAGATAACGATACAAATAAGATAATATTATGGCCAATACAATATTTTAAATTTATAATCAATTGCAATAAGACTTCAAATTTAAATAATGGAATTTTACCTTTTAAATTGTTTCAATTTATATATGAAAACTATAACATACAGCCACACCAATTCCATGCATATACTCTTTCATACAGCATTAAATGTCACACTTGTATATTTCTCGATGTGCACATCATTTAGAACATGAAAATACACATAATACCGTTGCTACTTAATCAACACTGCGGTAATTTAGGAAATCATAATGCATAAAGAACTGCATAAGCGCACGTTACATCCATTGTGAAAAATAGTCGGAAATGGTGAAAGATTTGATAGTGCTGTATGAAATATACAATTTGGAGCATTTACGAATGATTTAAGCAATGAATGGTTCATTTGGTAGTATATTTGTTTTGTGCAAATATATACAAAAAAGTAAGGTAGTTAAATTTTCAATAAATCATGGTTATACTCTACACTATGTAAAATTATATAAAAACTGTAGCAAAATAAAATTCAACAACAATTTATACGTAACAGTGTATAATGTTTGACAAGATTTCTGTTCATTTTCATTAATTATATTTCCATTTACTGTATACAAATTAATTAAAATTATATCTCGATTATTATTATCACAGTTTTTTAGCAGTATATAAATATACGCGTATGTATGAACACGATTTTCATAATTGCTCTATATATAAACACTACTACTAATAAAATATTAAACAATGGAGAATGGATTTTGATTTATTCTTCAAAGAAATCAAAATTTATTAAAAAAAAAAAAATACACGTTATATTCTTTGCCGTATGGAATATAAAAATGAATTGGAAATCGCTATGTTATAGATTATATATTTTGTCATAAAAAAAAAAAAAGAAGAGAAATGATAAAAACCGAATGCTAGGGAAAGTTAAATAAAGAGTAAGCATAAAAAAATGAAGAGCGTGAAAATGGAAAAGGAAGAAAAATGTAGTGTAAATCTTTGTTCCAATGTACTTTATAATTCTTACCTTGCATTATGGCTACTGGCTGCCGCGCTGCCGATATAATTAAATTATTTCTTTAATTGTGAAGTATTAAGAATTAATGAATGGAAACAAATGTCAGGAGATGTGTATATGCTATGGTTATTGAAGGAAAGACATACAGACATTACATTTTCATAACGTGAAACATTAACGAGGAAAGTTACTGAACAAATATCACAAGAATTAGTCATATTCAAGATTGGTTAGTTGATGATTACAGATAATTTCATTTGTATTCATATTAAGTATGTCTTGCCTTTAATGATGTTAAAGGTTGTGTTACAGCAGAAGTTATAATATTATGATACTTTGATTTGATTATTCTTAATTATATAACACGAGACATAATATACATATATTCTCTTAGGATTCACGTGATACGTGATATGTTTCAAGAAATGAAAAGTTGAGGTAAAATATTCTTATAAAGATGAAATGAAAATTAAGTTAAACCTACAAAATAATGTTTACAATATCTCATTTCTAAATTGCTTTTCGCATTCTATTATTTAATAATTTAAATTTTGGAAAGTAATCAAGTTTTCAATATGTAAAACACGAAAAATGAACAAAAATTATGTTCGTTATACAGAAACAAGGAATTAAGATATAAACGTATGCATATTGTAAAGAGGAGAAACGTGAGATACAATTTAATATGACTATATATAATATATATAGAGATATGACACAAAGTGTCATACAAATATACATGAAGTAGACAGAACAGCAGTAAATTCTACTATTTATTGATGATACAAAAAAACGTGTACCTTAGCTTTGAAGGACAAAATGAGCTAACAATAATTGCTAGTTTAAAGCTTGCTATGTGAACTGACTTTAGCAAAGCATGCACATTTGAAATACACCGTATAAACCTGACTATAAGGCTAACATCAATATAATCACATGAATATTCAAACTTTATTATATTTTTATCAACAATACAAATTTTGTTCAGGAAAATACGGTATAATCACGTGTTATATATGAATATGTATTTGATGTACACTCAAATACATATAAACATATATAACACAGTTTGCATTAAAAAAAAATTAAACAAAAAAAGTAGCAAGCAGACTAATGTAACTAACTGCATATGTAATCAGTGAATTTTCTTATTATTTTTTTTTTAATTTTATGTAATTTAAATTAAAATTTCTTAACAAAATCAAATTTAGAAAAAATATTGTGTCTGTATTAGTAAAGCATATTACCATTATGTGAGCTATACTATGTGTTGAATTTACATCTGTCATGCAATATGTAATTCATTGCTGCAAGTCAGAGAAATTTTCTCAGAGATACTAACATTTTATACAATAATCCACCAGAAGAAAAACACCAAATTACCTCATAATAAGTTAATAGTTTCTGGTAGACTTCCTGTATACAAATTTTGTATTACTTTTGCCTTGTATCAAAAAGTTCTGTATAAACATAACTGATGATCGATGCTAATTAACTAATTTTGTTCTCAGATTTCATAAATAATAGCATGATTACTTAGAATACTTTAAAGATTTAAGACACATTTTTCAAACGCGGAATACCAAACTTTATGGATATGAATACATTAAAAACTATAGCTGCAGTCATGAATGTAAAATAACAACATATAGCGCTAAATGTGCGATCTTTAAAAATAAAATTGTTCTATCATATTGTTTACTTTCTTGATTTTGCTGAGTAACTACAAAAACATATAATTCAACATATATATAACTTACTTGGCGAAACCAATGAAATCTTCGTGATTTGTATTCATATATGCCAGTTCACAATCAACCAAAAGAATCAACTGCTCCTTGCACATCTGTTCTCGTTGCCTAATATGAGTAGTTATGATACGTTCCGTTTCTTCTCTCAATCTAGGATAACGTGACATCTACAATCGAAAATGAAAACTGTATGAAATGTACGCGTCGTACAAAATTTCACAGACAAGGAAAAAAAGCTTACTTACCCTATCTGTACAAATGCGTACAACGTTACTGAGTTCCTGCACAACTAAGTCTACACATTTTAGACTCGGTTCTTTGAGTCTATTGATTTGTTTCTTGACTATTGCCTCAAAGGCCATATCAGGAGTAAACAGACCAACCCTGATACCTATGACATTACATAAGTGTCAGTATTATTTTTAAACCAAAACGGGCGTTGATGTAGCTTCATACACAGGTGCTTCCTTTCGTAGCGATAAATATCTTATTAAAAAAAATTTTATTCAATCACATTTTATAATATTTCAAGGTAATCGTTGTTTTTAAAAATAGGATGACATACTTTCATTAAAGGGAATGATGTAACTCATAAAAGCGGCATATCATATGTCGCCCTTAAAATGTCTTTTAATAACAAAAGCCACATTTATATAGATAAAAGTAATGATTTTTTTTTATCTGAATATTCGTCTTTCGAAACGAACACTCTGCTCTTTTATTTTATTTTACATCCTCAAAAGAATGGGAGAAATTTTAGTTGCACGGGTTTAAAGAAACACCTTGTGTACAAATAAAAATGTAAAAATCGCAGCATTAATTTACCATGAATGTTCCTAATGGCAAAAGCAATTTCTCTTCTCAATTCTTTTTCATCAAACTCCATTTTAACTATTTCAAATGGGAAACGTTCATGGAACAATCTGTTTATTTTAGCACCTCCACTGAGTTCATTTGTATTGATTTGCGCGGATCCGGAACCTTCTATAGTCCTTTCAAAATCCGACTGGAGCTGTTGTATCATCCTTAAAAATGTTTTTCTTTCAATCAATGTATAGACAAGCATCAAACAATAATATTAATAATATGGGTAGAGAGTCACAACATTGAATGTTACAGAATTGTAAATTCAGTATATTTCACTAATGCATTATAATTTATGACGTTAGTGAAAACATGTGTTATTTTTCACTCTTTAATAAACTATGTAACAGTATACAATGCGTTAAATTTTCATGCAAATGGTACACACATTGTTAAAAAACAATGAGAAAGATGTAATACCTACATAAACAATTGAATTGATCTGAAAAATAAGAAGAATCTCTAAAATGTCAAGACCCTCCACCCATAATGTACTTTAAAAGAAAACCACAAATGGCAAATTTAGTTTATAAAAATGATACTTATAAATACATTACAAAATGTGAGATATTCTACATCAAATTCGTGACAGGAGCATTCCATTATGTGTAACTATTTCCTCTTGTAAAAATATGTTAAGTCCTTGATTTACACAGTTAATTTTTCTAGAGGTCTTCATACAAGTGGAAATGTATAAATACAATGTATTCCAGGTAGAAAGAAAGAATTATTGTCAGTTGAAAATAAAGAGGTGCACTAATAAGTCCAATGTGAACAATATCAACTAAATTTTATTTATACAAATTTTAATTTAAAAAATACATTAAACATGTATTTCTTCTATTGGCTGACATTCATCTTCAAAATTGTGGATGAAGTAGCTATTCAGTTCAATTTCTCAAAAATTGATGGACATAGAAAGAGATATTGAAGCTTACTAAAAATCGAATTTTATGTTCAACATTTTGTTCGATTTCCATTGGTTTTCAAAAATTTAACTAAACTGAGATTCCATCAACGAAATTGGAAATAGCTTTCATCATTTGAATATAAATAATATTTTCTTTATCTTAGCTGACGGCCGCGCAAAAGGTATTTACCGCGTAACACAAGGACTCACTATATACGTTTTATTAAAATTATATTACATTAAACAATCAAAGGATTAAAGTAAGTATAATGATAATAAAATGCATCACATACAATAAATCAATTATGAAAGTACTTACTGCAACATTGCTTTTGTTTTTATGGCAGGATCATCGGGTCTAAAATGCTTGTATTGATCTACATCCTTTTCCAATGTAAGCAACTGTTTTTGTAATCTATCTCTTAATGCTGGCAAAGTGTCCCTGATATGATTTGTCAATTGTTGATTCAAGACTCGTTGCAAATAAGGTGTTCCTAATCTATCTGCTAGATGCCGATAAGATGGATGACTAAATACAAAAAATATATATATATATATATGTATATCTTGTTCAACAGTTACGTCGCATAATTATTCTTCATTAACAATCTATACCTCAGGAAAAATTTTCTTTCAGCTGCTAAAGCATTTTTTATATCTTTTCGACCTTCTATATCTTTCTGACTTCTATTAACGACACCTATATAGCCTCGCCTTAGAGGTAACAATTTGTTCTCCAAAATATCTCTTGCATCAGTACCATCATCCATAAGATCCAATTTTGTAATAACACCAATTGTACGGACACCTTGAGAAGTTTATAATGTAGAAGTCTGGAGTTATTAATACTAATCCATTGGGCCAGGAATTATTCTATTTTAAAAACTATTAGAAATAGAAGTTGAAAATTATTCAACCAACTGTATAAAAGTTGTTTGAAAGTTATAAAAAAGAAATATAATCATGCGTCAGAAATCATATTTGTTATTCCAGCCCAAAGGATTAAGAATGAATACAAATAAAAATATACCTTCAGGATCTACTTCTTTAGCAAGTTTAAGAGCATCGCTATTTGCTAAATCTGTGTTTGCAGGAGTTACTGCCAATATAAGACAATTTTCTCTTTTGATAAATTGAAAAATCATGGCTTTTATTTGAGCTTCTATGTCTGCAGGTTGGTCTCCAATTGGTACTTTTGTGAGACCAGGCAAATCGATCAAGGTCAAATTCAAAACTGGCAATAACAAATATATTAATTAAATATATTAATTAAGTATGTATTCATATGTATCGATATGAAAAGTAGTAAGAAATATATTTACCATTAGGTGAATATACTCTTAAATTTATGGGTATGTTAGAAATACCCTTGTTACTGCCTGTAACCCTGTCTGTTTCTGCTTCAATTTCCTTCCTCACTTCATCAAAATCAACAAATTTTTTACCTTTGCAGTGTAAAAACTCAGCAGTTTCTATAATGAAGAAATACCGTATAAAACATTTATGGAATTTTTGTAATATTTTCTTTTTAAAAATTCATTATTGCACAACATAACGCTAGTTAACAATTCTTAATCGTATCCCTTACAAAGAAACTCATAATAGGTTCAACTGTCTACTTATCAAAAGTTCCTTGTCACAGGAAATGTGATAATTTGATAGATAACATCCAAAAAATTGCTTAATCAACAGTATATGATAAACAATGGACTTTCATAAAAGAAACAAAGTCAAGAAATTTTTTGTATAAAAATTAATACTTTTTAGAATAAATTACTATATATGTCTATATTAAAATAATAAAAAAAATAATCTTTCATATAGGTGATCTACTTATGTTTTAAAAACAATAGCCTCTGGAAGTAATTCTAACTTTAAATTTATTTTACATCCATAATAGAGAATATTCTATAATCTGTTTATCTATGATGACTCACCAGTTGTACTGTTAATCAATTGTAAGATAAGCGGTCTTCTGGTTACAATGCCTGACCCTCTAGGTAAGAAGTCTCTGAAAAAAAAATGATTAAATTTTTACAATTACTACAGTGTGAAAACATTAAAATAATACATGTTTCATATATTGTGTTAACATATGCTGAACATATACTGAATTATAATATGCAAAACAAACAAAAATAAAATATCGGTTAAATAGTACAGCTCGGTGTGCAAAATATAAATTGTAAGGAAGAACAGTTGTTACACAATAATAGATCGTATAATTGGATTGTATTTGTGGATATAAATAATTACAATAGATTAATTATTGCACAACACAGATTATATACAAAATATAATATTTCAATATATATGAACAAATTTTTATCTAGATAAGTTTTGATTAACGAATAGAATGATTCTCTGTTATTTATTGAATATAATTCTCTGTTATTATTGTTTATTTGAATAAACGTCATGAATATATCGTTATGTTTATTTGTTATCTATTACTGAAAAGAAATGTTGTTCATCTTTACTTCTTACTTAAAACATGTTTATAAATTTCGTTTAGAAATCTGTGTGTTGCAAATAAATGTAATAATATTTCGATTAACGTATAATGTGTTTGGAAAACCATGTGAACCACTTAATGGTCATACTAGAGCAAACTCGCGTATACATAATCGCATTTGAAATTATAACCAATTAAAAAGCTACGAAGAAAAGAGCGAAGAGCATCAATTAAAAATACGAAATTTTCGTAGTGTTTGTCGGAATTCTTATCTATCAATCTCGGAAGAAAGAGAACGTTGAATGGATAAGAGAAGAGAACACGGTACGGCCTAGACCGAGAATAATTAAAGGAATAATTGTCGGAAAAATACTGTTTGGATAATTCCAAGAAAAGAGCCATCATCGCAGTAATAAGAAAGAATAAATGTTTGACAGGTCGCAGCGTAGGCGGCCGCACATCGTAAATATATAGTCGATTTTTCTGTCACGATCGATAGAGATTAAAATAGTTAACCTAAAGGGGGATAGTCAAATTGAAATAACCGATGACGGATATTAAAACTATAACGTGGCGTAGTTCGCCACGCCTTTCGTTAAATGACCGACTATTCTCCTAGTTATTGGGAATAATACTAGAGAACACGTTAGAGGGGAAAAAAAAAAGACATTGAAAGAAATAGGAGACGGGATATATACTTACTTTCCAACAAAGTTCTCGAGAACAGAACTTTTTCCAGCGCTCTGACCACCTACCACAGCGATTTGTGGTAGATCGAGTTGCATGTGCACCCCGAGTTGCGTGAATGCATCTTGCAGCTTGTTCACGATCGGGATTAACTGTTCCATGCCCACGTTTCCTGCCATTTTGTCGAGGCTGTTTGTTCACCGAGCCAACAACCACGATCGTTTTCAGTTTTAACGGCTGTGTCCTGTGGGCGACACCGAGCTGCCACCACTTCCACGCACAACCGTCGAGGGTAGCTGCCCAGAGGTGATTCCTATCCGTTTTCGTCAAACCACGCACTACCAAAATGGCCGATTTTCGCGAAGGCACACGTCGGTCTACATCGAATTTCACCGCATCTTTCCAAAAATCACGCGACCCCGGAACGGATCAAACCAACGAAAGATATGTCAGTCACTGGCCTACTGCGAGAAACTCACACGCTACAAGCATCCACGGCCACTGCGTTCGCATAAATGAGATCCAGCGTACGAACCAAGGCACGTAACGTTTCAATCGATAATCGAAGCGTGCGCATAGGCGCCTTCAATGTGACCCACTTTTCGTCGCGAGATAAAATCCATATCGTCCTCCTGCTGCTGACCTTTTTCCACTTCCTACTGTAATTTCCTTTCAAAGGAATCTGGAACCACACTTTTTTTCGCGTTTCTCGATCCTCTCGCGAATATCTTCTTCTCGATGCTTCTTATCGATTTCGAACGTTACGCGCCAAATATTTTTATTGGCGGCGAACGTTTCTAATCGTTACGATAGTAGGCGGTGACCAATGAGAATACTACTTTCCGGTTAAGTTATTTTCTGAATTTTTAAACATCATTGCTTCGTTTACTCGGGCCACGGACCTAAAAGGCGGTGTAAAAAATAGTATCATGAATAATAGGAGCACATCCTGAATTACAAGAGGAAATCATTTTTAGGATTACCGTCGGCCATCTTCCTTTGGTCAACCGAGTCAACCAACGATACCATCCGGTTGAAACGCGGCCAAATTTAAATTTGTATATCCTTTTATACGTTACAAGTTGTGTAATAAGTTGGAAACCGAAAAATATTGTATGTAATATCGGGTAGAAGAACCTTAAGAATACTAGGTAACAAATGAAAATTTTATCAACGGAATTTATTTAATTGATTTGTTTGACGATGGAAAAGTATAGCCGCAGGGCCGGCGTGATCTGTTGCGGGGCCGGGTTCAAAAATTTTGTGAAAAATCAATTTATAAGTGAAAATTGGAAATACCTTTTAGCATGCAATAATATTAATTGTGTGGATAAATTATAACATAGAGATAGGGGTTGAACTAATTTTCCAGACAAAATACATTTTTCATTAGTACAAAAAAGAACGGTTTTCGTGGTTTTGACGGCAACCGTTGCTATGGATCATACATTGTTTTCTATAGGTACAGTACTGCGCGCTCAGCTCTTTTCGACGCGCATGCGTGACTGGACGCCAAATCTGCCATCATAGGTGGAAACTGCCATGTTTAAGAAAGAAGCATGTGCGCCATCTGTACGACAATTCAAGTACTATAGATTCGACCGCATTTGGGCAGTTTCCATTTCTGGCCCTTTCCGAACATGCAATTTTTCGTTTTGTAATACATCGTTACATAATACAAATGTAATATATATAATTTATTTAAATGGTTTAACGTACAAATTTTTACCTGTAAATATAAATCTATATGTCTTTTAAATATTAAAAATATGTACATAATATGTACAAAAATGAAATGTACAAAAATGAAATGTAGAGTATACTGTGCATATATATACAAGTTATTTGTATATTATTATACATATACACATATTTTTAATATTTATAAGACATATAGATTTATATTTACAGGTAAATATTTGTACGTTAAGCCATTTAAGTAAATGATATATATTACATTCGTATTATGTATAAAACTATTCTTTATTCAACATGATATATATATATCGATATATACTATATATGTGTAATGTAATCTTTCTCATTAAATTTTATTAAATCCCATATTTTCTACGAAATGTGGTGGTACTTCACGAATTATGTGATAAACATATGTGTTTATATATATGATAAGAAAAATAAGTAAGTGTAAATAAATGACAGGGAAGACGAAAACTTTTTTGTTCCTTTTTCACGATTTTCTCCAAAACGGAGCAAAAACGAGCAAATCTCTAAAGGTAACTAATATTGATAGTTGATATGTTCTACCATAGACAAACTATAAATTAGATGTTCCATCTCTTACTGGAGTAAGTGTCACACGAACTGCATTACCGACCTCGTATAATAATCAATGACTTTGCAGCGATTTTTTTTTTCATATCTATTATAGTTGTTAAAACGAATAATTAGAAATGTATGGTAACTGTTTGTAAATTGAGTTTTTTTTTAATGTTGAAGTGGAAAAGATTCTCAACATACTATTATTACAAATCTATTAATTCTTCTTTAAAATTTTCATATTATGCCTGAAAAAGGAATAAATTGTAAATTTATTTATAAAAATTTAAATTCTTTTAATATTAATAAAATTTTTAAAGTTTCTAAAATTTGTAATCGCAAATTAACTTCGATACCTGCATATGAATAAAAATTGACACCGTTAATGAAATTTTCTAACTATTTCTCGTGTTATAATCTATTTACCACAGAGCTCGTGTTGTCAATTGGTACAAAAATATTGGTGGACCGTTTGGGACATGTGATTTCCGTTGAATCAAACAAAAAAATTCTCAACAGCGAAACTCTATTTTATCTAATTACACGCGCACGCTACCAATAAAATCAAACCGACCAAATATTTTTTTGTACATTCTGTTTATTTTTCATAACACATTTCAAGCATAATGATGTCAACAGCCATACCATTTTGCTTCGAGTCGGTACCAGGTGTCCATGCCTAAACATCTTGCCGCCAAAATTTACGTCCGAGTCTTCGAAATCGGAGGCGAGTATCGCGATGAAATCGGATCGAAAGCTTGTGTCGGTATTAAAAACTCGTCGAGAGGCAAATTTTTACCTAATCGACGGCCAACCGAGGTGTCGTCGTTTTCCACGTTACGTTATTTTAAGCTACGGTAGAGGCTCGTGTTAAGACAAGAGCACCAACGCGCGATCGTTCCTCTGCACGAATCGCTATGATAAATGAAAAGCCTTCGGCGATTATTAATTCTTACATTCAGTCAAATGCAAGGAATCAGCAAAAAAAAAAAAAAGAAAGAAAGAAAAGGTTAGACATGCTCGAGCTCATCGCCGAACTCTTTCTTTTCTTCTCCACGTCTAAACGCTAGTGTCGTTTACCGTTCGAGTGCATCGCAATCTAGTAAACCAGTGGTTGTAGATAGCATCGTGGATTGTGAGCTTGCACAAGGCGAAGCGATCTTTGGATCGTTTCTCGCTTCGTCTTGCTGTAATGGTACATCGACAGGCCTCTCGACAGCTATATATTGACGTAGATCGTATGTTATTAACGGTAACACTTTGAAGATCTAATAATTAATGTCATCGTAATAGAATTATAAGTACATCGTAATTTATCTTACTCGATAGCAACAATCGTAGGTGCACGAAGACCCGAAGAGAGCGATATCTCGAAACGTTAGGCAGTACCCGGCGATCTTGAACCGCGCCAATTTCGAGTCTTCGTAATCTGTGGTTAAATCCCATCGATAGACGCAGGACAGAGTTCCTGTGTCGCGACATAAACGTTTTTTTTTTTTTCGTTTTTTTTTTCCTTTCTACAATTGTCTCGCAGCTTCGGAGCGATTGCTTCTCGATTGCAAGGCGCGTTTGCTTCGCTACTCACACTTTTTTTTTTCTTTTATATAATTTCTTTTTATGTCTTAATATCACGTTCGGTTAGCTTCCTTTGATGAACCTCTTCCCTATACATAGAAAGTTACAAGGGTATGAAAAGTAGACGCAACCCGTATGCAGTTATGAATTTTAATCTCTAACGAGTATCGGTGTATACCTTTCCTTTCTCGGAACACCAGGTCGTGACGTTCGCTGCTAAATTTGTAAAATCTAACCAAATCGAAGACAAATCCTCTCATAGCTAGGTAACATCGAGGAAAATGTACTTGAGCCTTGATAGTTTTAAGTAAGCGTTGAGTCGGAAAATCGTGTCCATTATTTATCTTATTTATCTTTTTTTTTTTTTCTTTTTCTTCTCTCTTTTTTGGAGAACAATCGGTTAACTCGGGACACGAAGATGAATCCAAGAATCATCGACATGGTGTCATGAGATAGAAAATCTGATATCGCTTCGTGACCGCAAGTTCCGTGCATCAAATATATTAATTCGTTTTTAAATGGATGTTCTTCAATCGCGATACGTATATATATTATTGGCGCATCTTTGATCGGTTCTTGTTTCACAGTCGCCGATGTACGCGCGCTGAATGAGCGGTTCTCCCGATGCATGTATACCGTACTAAACGATCCTTAAATATTTTATACATACGTGTATCGTTCGATAGTTGAACGAACAGTATATAACGAGTATGCATGCATATATGCGTTACAATATACGAATCCCACTTAAACTTACTTACGGAGATTAATTAATTATCTTAATTAGAACAATATTTCCATGAAATTCTCTCGTGTATCTTAGCGTTCACATGTCATGTATTTATCGTGAGTTCTGTCGAAACTTTGTTGCTAATATTACCGGTTACACGGAGACCTCAATTTTTGGTAGCAATATCTTAGAATGTATCCGTAACATATAATTAGACGCGACAATACGTATTTATATATCGTCGCTGCTTTAACTATACCGTACGCAATTAATACCATATATATATATATACCGTGATATATCTTTAAATATACTTTACAGCTTGCAGCTCCGCGATCTCTTTAGCTTTCAACGAAATCGTCATCTACGCTCTCATACGCATACGTCTCACGTTCATACTTAACGCGCTAACTGAGATAACAATTATCACACAGGAAACATGTTCCACGTAGAATTTCAAACGTAAATGATAGATTTTGCAAGATACATCGGATGTACTTTCGACGGTAACTTCGACCGGCTTGAATAACGAGTACGTGTAAATATTCTTTATCTTTCTTTTTTTTTTTCTCTTTTTTTTTTCTTTTACCAGCTTTCCATCCCGATTCTATCGAATATCGCTCGGTTTCGAAAGACGAACGTGTCCACGCGACGATCGAAGAAACTTTAAGCATGATTACTCGACTGAATCCGATTCGTGACTAGTATAATTTGCCTTCCCTGTCTTTCGCTAGACGCTGTTTTATTCTTTTCTCACACTCTCGCAAAGCCGTGACTCTTGCACCTTAACAACGGATGTTCATTATTAGAAACAACTCATACGCAATGATGAATGTACTCGTGTATAATATAGTCGCTCTCGAATCGGCGCGTTATACACGCGTAATAATTGCTAATAGTACGGTTGCACCATCGATGCGCAATTCATCGTTCACCATCGTTATCACCATCATCATCGTCATCGTGTCGATACCCGTCCTTTCCTTTTCATTTGACGCGCACCGCAACCTCTCCGTTTCTTTCTTTTCTTCCT